TTATTTAGCCTTTTGTGTTTTGAGGTTAAGCATAAAGCAAGGAACTAAGTCACGCATACTTAATAGATGATCATCAAACTCTTCCAAGATCTGCTGAATATGGCATTTAAAATGTCTAATAAAAAACTTTCCTATTATAGAAAGAAAAGTCATGTCCTAGAAGAAACCCTGAGGTCTCCCAAGAAAACAATACAGCACTGACTACTCCACCTGGGAAAAACTGCCCCGTGCGTTGCCTGCCACCAGGGTTCTGCCCAAGCTGTGGACACTGTTGGGTTGACTGCTCTATTCCGCCTGGTCAAGGTAAGGTCAGTACCTTTCTACAGAAAAATCTCTCAGACTTGAATGAATGCTTGGATCTACCCAAAAGTGGATGCTGTTCTGTGTGGCAGGTGAAGATTAAATCCTGTCCTGTTATGACAGCCGAAGACTGACCACTGCCTCTTCTGAAGTTATCAAGATCATGGGAGCCTAGGGCAAGCGTCTAGTAGTGGTAAGGCTGACTGCAGTTTTGTCAGTTTAACAGCAGCAGGCAACCAGCTGCTTCCCTAAGGCTGCAGCTACTTTGTTAGTTTATTGCATACATAAAAATCAGATCTTACCTTTTCCTAAAGATACCAGGTCTCCTGTGGAAAAAGGCAGACAGGTTTGTCTTGCTAACAGGCTTCATATTAAAGGATAGCAGGTTTCAGATGTAACTTTTTACTGTTCCTTTATTTAAAAGAACTTGCTTTGGAATGACTGCTCTCAGCAATATCTACCTGTGTCTCTGGTAAATGATTAGATGGAAAGAAAAAAAGGTTTGAAGTTTATATAAGTTCTGAGGCTCTGAGAAACTTCTCTAAGGTACATTCAAGGGTCAGGAGATGTGAATGTTTAAGGAATTTCTGGGTGTCTAAGAAAGTGTTCTACAGTATGTAAATGCAAGTAATAAAGATATAAGAAAGTAACTTAAGTAATAAAAATGTTTCTGACTTCTTTCGTCTTGCTATGCTACTGTGATACAAAGATTACAAAGTTTTATAGTTTTGAAACTAATTAATGGAGTTCTGATGAGCTTGTAAAAGCACCAACTATTATTAACAGTCACAAGCTCTAGATTTCAAATTTACTTTGGTTGTCTTCTAGGTATAGAATTAAAGGTGCTTCTCTTGGGCTAAAAAAAAAAAACTCTGTCATATATATATATATGGATATATAAATCCCACTGGACAAAAAAAAAAAAAAAAGAATGCTCATGCTTTTTAGACCAAAACACAGTTCTTCCTATTCAAAGGTGTGAATCTATCTATGCCAGCTCTTTTGCAGACGCCTGTTAACTGCTTTTCCTACAATGTGGATTTAAGTACAGATTACAAATAGCAGTAATGCTAATATATCCAAAACTTTTCTTTTTTTGTAAACTAATATTCATGTGAGCTTCAGTAAGTTGAGTCATAAGACTCATATCCACCTCTCACAGGTCAAATGGAACAGTTCCCTACCTGCCTATTCCTGTCTCTCTCCCCTGGTTGTGAGACTCCTCTCCTTCTGCAACTAACAGGACTATGGGTCTGAAAGTTTCAAATGTAAGATTTTCCTTTAAGTTCCTAAACTTTAACTTCTGTCCTTAGTCTGTATTTGTGTCAGTAGATGTCCCCTTAGCTGACAGACACAATCCATGAAATAACTGCTGACTACAAACTACTTCAAATGCCTGTGATCCCAGGATTTGCTGAGAGCTGATATGAAACAGTCCAGCTGATGTGATTGTTCCCTATTCTCTTCAGCTGGGCCAGTAAATGAGATGCTTCTGATGAATGCCCCATTGCCTGAATCCCCTCTCAGACTTTGACTAGCGTTCAAAGTCTTCCTGGGCCCTGACAACAACATCCTGATTTCAGTTGGAAGTAGTTACAGAAGAAAATACACCACCCTTTATCCTCAACAGGCTGAAGGTCAAAAGAAAACTTGGCATGTGAAACAAAGTGGCTATATGCATACCAGGAAAGGTACCTGTTAAAACCAAACAGACCCAGATCTATCAACAGGTAGATACATAAGCTTAGGTAGTTCTACAAGTCCATAGACTTGCTCTATGTAGAACAAGGAGGTTATTGTGTGACTTTAAGGCTGTGGTTTCTATACAAAATTACTCGGGAATCATTAAGAGGTAATTTGGCTGTACTCAAAATTAAATACACACACACACACACACACACACAAGGGGGGGAGAGCGGGGAGAGAGAGAGAGAGAGAAAGGGGACCCGAGATAAAATAAATGTCTAGTTCCCATTTTCATAGTCACTCTGATGTCAGTCTGGCCCTTCTGCTTCTGTTAATTACTATTGGTCCTTGCATCATTAATTCTTTAAATAGATACATAAATTCCCACCTGGGTGCCATTAAAGTGATGCTTTTTAGATCCCAATATAAACAGTTATCTACCAGAATCAAGAATTTGATGCAGGATACAATTTACAGATGGAATGTGAAGGTTAACGTTATGTTTTAGGTTTTAATTGCTATGCTTATAAAACAAAAATACCTCTAACCTGTAAGCCCAAAGAAAGATAACACGCCATGTGTTTACACTTCTGTCAATAAGTTTGGTTGCTCCAGCTGCAGAGGATGTGTATGATCACAGGTAGGCAGAAAGTACACAGGCAGTACATTAGGATATATACTTGTCCCCACTGGACAAAGGCAGCAAGAATGCAGTCTTGTGGGTTTTGTCTTAATAAGCAAAGGACTAATGTAATTCATAGCCATTCTCTGGGAATCCTGGGTATGGACCTGGCCAGTGTCCACTGTTCTGACCAGATTTAATAACGTTTGTTTCAAACTTGGCTTAAAAATACTAGTCTTATTCTCACCCAGTGGAATTAACAACTCCTCTTAGAAAACATTTACAGAAAGTTACAGTAGTGAATAAAAGGAAAAAGAATGAAATCTTCCTTTCTGTTTACTGTCTTGCTATCCCTCTGGTGTATATGTGATGTAAATGTAAGAGAGTCAAAGGACAAATCTGACTATGGGTTCTCACCTTCCTCACAAGGTTCTTCTGTCAACTGCAGCTGTACACCCTTCATCCCATCTTGCCATAACAGCACTGGGATTCCTAGCACAAGCTACTACACCCAGCATTGTGTGGCTGCTGGGATTCAAACTCAAGACCCTCATGCTCAAGTGCTTTACCTACTGAGTTATCTCCCAGCCCTATTTTTTCATTCCTTACAATAATGCAGGTTAGAATTAATTAATAAACTCTTCCAAAATTATTTTATTATTTGTGTGTGTAGGCACTCACAGAAGCTAAAAGAAAGAAATGGAGCCCCCTGAGCTGGAGTTATAGGCAGTTACAAGTCTGAGTGCTGGGGAACCAAACTCAGCTCCTCTGCGAAAACATTGGGTACTTTTCATTGTTATCTCTCAAATCCCAATTAATCAATTCTTACCTAATATTTCTATGGACAAGTCTGACAAAAGATTGAATGCTTTCCCTTTAAGATTACGAAGATAGCAAGGATGTCTGATCTAACAATTACTGTTCAGCTTGGAATTATAGACTGCAGTCAGCGCAATAAACTACAGAGAAATGCATCAGTTCAGACAAGAAGAAGATAGCCTTTTTCAGTGGAGCACATAATTAAGTAAAGAAATCCTATAAAATCTACAAAAAATACTACCAGAACCAATAATTCAGTATAATAACACTACAGAATCCTAAGTTAATATATTTACAATCATCTTTTTACACACTAGCATTGAACACTTAAAAATTGAAATAAAAGTACTTTTATACTTGCATCAAAACATGAAATATATGTAAATACTTATATATCATAAAACTATACAAGACTACCAATAAGAAAATAGAAAAGCTGGAATAAATAGAGACATGCAGTGTTACTGAACTGAATGGTCCTGTATTATTAAGAACCTACCTACCTCCCTTCCTCTCCTGGAACCAAACCCGGTATTAAACACATGCCAGGCTAATACTCTAGCATCAAGCCATACCCCCAGCACAATGCTGTTTAAAATTTCAATTTTATTTAAATCTATCTATAGATTCAACAAAATCTCACAAACAGACTCCAAATAAGCACTATATAAATTGATACAATAGTTCTTAAAAACTGTATGAAAGTGAAAGGAAACAAGATTAACCAAAACTACACAGAAAAAAAAAAGAACAAAACTAAAGGGTTTATATAATTTGATTTTAGGGTTTACTACAAAGTTACAATAATCCATATAGTGGTACTGGTAGAAGGTCAACGGAACAGACATGTGTATCTACTTGTGAGAAATACAGGATACTCTGCTATCCAAGAGAAAAGAAAGCACATCTTGCTATTGAGAAACTATATGTGAATGTTACCCTCAGTGCCTAGCACACAGCAGTCACTTGGTTCAATTCCCAACACCATCTCCCAAAGAAAAGAACAGTAGTACTAGTAAGTGCAACAATGTAGGTGAATCTTAAAATAATCATGTTGGGGGAAAAAAATGTCTGATTCCGCTCATATAAATACTAAAGTACATAAATTCCTCTATAATAACAAGTTAGTCTAGTGAATACTAGGGGACACAATGACAAAAAGAAGGGCAGGAAGAAAAAAAAATCAAGCCATCTAAATAATTTTTGTCAAATGACAGATATATTTCATTATCTTAATAGTTTTAACCAGAGTAAATATGTTAGCAAGTATCAAACTGGATGTCTAATATACAGTACACTGCTGTAAACTACACCCCAGTTAAGGAGAACACATGTCCTGAAAATGTTGCTGAAAGTCAATTCTAGTATGAGCAGAGTTTTCAATAACGGGTCTGGTATTGTTTTACAATTTTTTTCAGCAGACATTAGCAAAAAACATCTTGCTATTGAGATGAGATTGGTTGAGATTCACCAACGTCTTTGAGGAAGGTGATGGTTTTACTAAATTTTAGGTGGACTCCAGGTAAGTAAACAGCAAAAAAAAAAAAAGTACACAGAAAATGAATAAGCATACCTTGATTTGTGCAAAGGGTCTTTCATAACCTCCAACATAGAGAAGGCCAACATTCTGTGGAAGCAACCTACAAGTAGGAAACAAATAAAATAAAAAAAAACACCTTATGTATAAAGTACTCTGCCTTTATAGCAAGGATATATAAAAATAGAGAGTGGGGAGACTGGAGAAATATTCAAACAGTAAAGAGCTTGCTGTACAACCATCAGGACCTGTGTTTGATTACCCATAATTTGAAAAAGCCAGGTGTGGTGGCAACAGCCTGTAATCCAGGCAGTGGGGAGGTGGGGACTGGCTCATTGACCATCCAGTCTAGCCTAACTGCCAAGTTCTAGGTCAGTAAAGAGATTGCCTCAAAAACAAACACAAAACAAAAGACAACGTAGATAGCATCTGCAAAACAATACCCAAGGTAGATCTCTAGCTACATACACACACACACACACACACACACACACACACACACACACACACGAGAGAGAGAGAGACAGAGAGAGAGAGAGAGAGACAGAGACAGAGAGAGACAGAGAGAGACAGAGAGACAGAGACAGAGAGAGAGAGGAGAAATTTCTCTAACAGATACTATGAAAAATGAATATGCAATTATTGTCTTCTGTACAATGGGACAGTAACAAAGGAATCCTATTTTAAAGTGGGTAAAATGTTAAGAATGAGGCTGCAATGTAGCTCAAGCAGGAAGGGTATTAGCACAACATACATGAAGCCTGGTTCAAATCCCAGCACAGCATAAAACTGGGTGTACTGTCACAGGCCAGCAATGCTAGCATTCATGGGATCAAAGCAGGAGGATCAAAAATATAAGGTCAGCCTCAGATACACAGAGAGTTCAAGGGTAGCTTGGGCTACGTGTTTCTACATCTCAAAAAAACTTAAGTTAAATAATAGAACACAATTAACAATAATTCTAGTAAGATTACTAGTGTCTCTGGAAATGAGGTAACAATATTATAATCAAAAATTTATAAAAATTTAATTGAAGAACTAGTGAATGCATGTCCACACCATACATTACAGATGATAATGACCTTAATTCTGTGCTAAAAATTTTTACCAAAAACTTGCCATAAATACCCCTAATACCCATGGCTTTGACCCATGGCATGACAAAATATCTGTCACTGTAAAGCAGTGGGGTAAGGGCACTGACTATGGAGAGTTAAACTATGACTAGGTTAAATCTGAATACAGAGAGGTGCTGGGAATTGACCTTAGAGCCTCATATGTAAAGGCAAGTGTTCTATATAGAACTATATTCCCAGTCCACATCCAAACATTATAAATGAAGAAATACTGCCTTTAAAACTTTGGAACGATTAAAGAGAAATCAGTAGTAAAGCAAGCTATGGGAAAGACATAAATATTGACCATATTGTGGGCAATCACAGAGGTGGGCTGGCCTAGCTGCCTTGAGAGGCATGTGTTTATAGGTTTCTCAGGTTAGAGTCCACGGCTGGGGGTGGGGAGGACAGGCACGGTGTGCCTTCCAGTTCCAGAGAGAGACCAATGCACTCCCTCAGGCGAAGCATTCAGGTCACTTTGTGTTTCTCTGTATGTTCCCTCAGAAGTGAAAAAAGCATGGAAGTTTGATGGGAAAACTGGTCTTAGACTTTAATCTTGTGTACCTTGTATAGCTTCTAACATCATTCTATCCTGGCAACTACAACTGTATTGATTCAGGCAATTGGCACTATATTCTGTTGCTTATAAATGTATAAAAAGTCTGATTGCTCTCAATAAAATAGACACAGCCTCATTCTTGCTGTGGCCCCTCCAACCAGCCTGGTTTATTTCTCACTGCCATATTAGGTAACCATGGCCTGGCAGGCAAGTATGGGCATTTACACCATAGTATAATGCACTCTTTTACCATAATTTTATTTCCTAAACGGCATGTAAATAAATGGACATATAGCTTTAGCCTTAGCATTAATATATGGAGGAAAAGTCTATATTCAACACCCTAAATCTCTATGTACAGACATATCTAAGAGTCTACATGAAGTTAACAGCTTTTAAAGACAGGTAACAGAACTGAATTGATACTGAACTGTAGGATAATTATGCATTCTATTCCATCAATCTGAAAACAGAAGACTCAAAGATTACATATATGTACATGTGTACACACACACACACACACACACACACTAAATAAGTGCCAATTCAAAGCAAGCCAATGGAACCTTCTCAATGTGCCATATTGGCATAATCACAGAAAATATGAATACTTGAGTGAATTGTAACAATCTCCTTTTTGTGCTGTTTGTTTTTGGTTTTTGAGGTAGAGCTAAAGAGATCTTACTTCACAGTCCTGGGATAGCCTGGAACTTTCTAACTATACCAGGCTACTTCTACTTCCAAGTGGTGGATTGCTGCTGTATTACCATAAGACCTGGCATAACCATCTCTTTACAATTCAATTCATAGCTTAAAAAAACTACTTTAAGTTTTAGAATCCACATGTACTAATAACTTTTCTGAAATCAAAACTTTTTTGATATTAGTGGAATCTTTAGTTGTCACTGGAGACAGATGTGAGATGTGTGGTTCTTCTTCACTGGTATAGACTACCTAGCGAGATTAAGAAAGCAAACATCTTAAGCAGAAATAGGGCAGTTTCAGTCTCCTCAGAAAAGTCTGCTCCTAACACTCTGTAGGAACAAAACACACTAACAGAACATTTAGAGTAGATATATATAATCCCGAATTAAACTAATTTAGGCAAATCCGTTCTTACATTTAGAATGTAAGTGATAATATGTCAATAATATATTACAAGAGAGATTACTAAGGACATTTGTTTAGTGAATTCAAGTACAAAGCATAGGAGATGTCCCCCAATCACAACAATGAAATGAGAAAAATCTTATCCATGCTTTGACAACTAAGAAATTCAACCAAGAAAACCTTGAACCATTTGCTGGAAGTAGCTATATATAGCAGTGGTAATTAACAAATGTTTGCGGAAAACTTGATAAATCTCTTTTAAAAGTAAGAATGATTACTGTTCATACAAATAGACAGTAGGAAGGGAAGAGAATAAAAGCTGGCTGACATTTAAAAGCCAACATGCCTCTAATTACTATGCACGTGCATCTCAGGAAGTCTGCCAATCTACTATTTAGTGTACACCTCCCTTCCTTTAATTTGCTATCTAAAAACTACATTTCCTCAGCATTTTCTTAAATGTTACCAGTTAGCTTTGTTTTTAACTTTTAAAAACATCTATTATTCTTTATCATATATCTTACTATCTTCACTTGATCAGGGCTTTGCTGTAGTTGTTTGTTTAAGACAAAGCCTCACTTAAAGCTTTGGCTGGCTTGAAACTCAGATCGCCTGCTCTGCCTTCTGAGTACTGAGATTGAGGTGTGTCAAAGATAACCATAACTGGCTTCAGCTGAGTAGTCTTAAATATATATTATAATTGAAAAGCATTATAAGAGTAAGAAAATACTTTGCTGTAGTGATATTTCACTTGTATTTTAATAAACAAAACCTGCCTGAAGTTCAAAGAGTAAAATAGCCACACTGATCGGCCTTAGAGACCAAGCAGTGGTGACACACACCTTTAATCCCAGTAGCCACACTAGTTTGCCATAGAAACTGGGTGGTACGTGCACGCCTTTAATCCCAGCACTAGAGAGAATATAAAACGGGAGGAACCAGCTCTCACACACACAGTCTCATTCTGAGATTCCTGGAGGCAGGATCACCATTTCAGATTGAGGAAGAGGGGATAATCTTCAGGTCAAACTCCAATTTCTGTCTGTGGGTTTTTATTAATCATGCTACACTTTGCAAATATGTTTCCATTTTTAAAGTGTACTATTTCTTTAAATTTTTTTCTTTTAAAAAGATTGTTTATGCAAAATTGTATAAATAATTATTGCCAAGTAAGCATCACTTACCATGACAGGGTGTTTGTACTTCAATACAGCAATCACATTTTAATCTCCACAGTAAGGCACTAACTTGACACTGACAGACAAACACAGGTATTCTCTGAGACAGAAATTCTAGCCCATTCAAGTTCATGAAGCTGTTCTGCCCTTAAGTTAGGTGAACATCACCATGATCTTTATGAACTACTAGTAGCCTCTCAAGTACTAGAATTAGTGCTTTAGTATTTAGTACTAGGAAGAACTAAATGTTTGGTCGTGTGGCTACCATGTAAGACTCTTGAGAAACAGCGACAGAGTAGTAGTGTTAAAGGAGGGGATTCCCACTATAGCCTTTGGAGAACTAAAAGTAGGTAAAACTAGTGTTCAGTTTGCTTTTAATTTTCCAGACACAAATAGTAACAGCTGTCTGTACTGGAAAAGTCCCAACATTGTTCCCACAAACACCTCTCAATAAATGGAAGACAAACACTGTTGGGTAAGAGAATAAACACTAAATGAACTTCATTCACTGTATGATGATATCTGACAAATACTGATTCACAATCATGTACTGAAAGACACAGAAGCATCTCTTCAAAAAGCAATCAAGCCTACAATTACCTCCATTAAAAGTTTTAAAGAAAGATGGGTATGGAAGCACACATCTGTAATCTCAGCATTTCAAAGGCCGGGGTACAAAGATGGGGGAGGGAGTTTGCTAGAATGAAATCTCAAGAGGAAAAGAAAAAAACCCAATAATTCAAAATTAATTGTAGGTGCTGGAGAGATGGACAAACAGTTAAGAACACTGGTGGCTCTTCCAGAAGACTTAGGTTCAATTCCCAGCACCCATAAGGCATCTTATAATCTTCTGTAATTCCAGTTTCAGGGGATTTGAAATTAACTTTAATTAACTATTTTTTTTTCTAAATAACTTTAGAAAGTAAAAAACTGTTAAGTACTCATACACAGAAAGCAATCTTGATCCAGAGGAATACAAAGATAAATCACAGAGTGAAAATGTTTGCAACAGACATTTCTGAGCTCTACAGACTCGTTTAAGGCCCTAGGTTCAACCTCCAACACTGCCATCCCAAAAAACAAAACCAAAGAATACACATAGAATATACAAAAAGGAGATGCTCAGGGGCATAGATTACTT